GTATATTCCTTCCATCTTCTTTTAATACTTCCTGGATCATTTAATGTTCTGCCCAAAGCATCCTTGATTACAGCAACCCTAGGTTTGAATCTGTTCTTCAGTTCCTTTAGCTTAAGAAATGCTGAGCGAGTCCGGTCCTTTTGATTTTCTGACTCTAGCTCCTCGCACATTTCATTGTAGTATTTTACTTTGTCATTCCGAGCAGCCTTTTGGAATCTTCTGTTCAGCTCTTTAGTGTCTTGAATTCTACCTTCTGCTTTGGCTTCTCTACGCTCCAGTGCAATCTTCAGAGTTTCTTCTGACATCCATTTTGGTCTTTTCTCTAAAAGTCATATTAAGCGCTATTTAAACATTAGCAAGAGTAACACCTATGAAAAGGAAATCTGGAGATGAACCAGAACTGAAGTTAGCCACTTTCGTTACTATGCTAGTTACCAAAGCTACTTTTTATTAAGAAAAGCATAGAAATAAGTCTTCAGGACATTGCCTTTCATGAAACATGGCAAAGTCTATATTGTTACTTCATACTTTAACTTGTAAGGGGTTTACTCTAAACCCCTACTCACATGCTATATCATCAACTTGATAAATGAGAGACCAGTCAACAAAATCAGATGAGTCATCATAGGAAGCAAAGAGGATAAGAATGAGAACTTGGTTATGGGTGCATGTTCCGGGATACTTAACTCAAATTTACTATGGGATTATTTTACAGATATAAATAGATATAGATATATAACAGGGCATGAAATATCTATGGTTTGAGTATGTAAATAAATTCAAAATTAGATTGTCCTACAATAATATTTTAGAATATTTGGGACTTTGAAGGAACTCCATTAGAACAGATGTTGTAAATATCCTTTTAAGTAAGAGAACGAAGGGGAGGAAATGCAACAAAACAAATCCTTAGTCTGTGAGGACGGTGTAGAGCAAAGGCAGAGAGGAGGACAGGCAGCCTCATTAACCAGCGAGCAGAGCTGTGACCTGCCTTTGGCCTCGTGTGCTACCCTACCAGCTGCACTTTTCTGGCACAGAGGGTGGTTCACCATCTACTTCTTAACTGGGCTGGAAGCCAGAGGTGGGTTTTTTTTCCCCCTTTTCTTATATTTCCAAAATTGGAAGAATTTTTTTCCTAAATATTTTTCACACAAAGATTCAGGGTTGGGTCCACCCACTCTGAATAAATTTAATTTAGCTGTTTTTAATGCCTCCATGATTTCCATCGATTGAAAATCTACATCATAGGGGCAGATGTGTAAACTGGGAAAATGTCCAAATTTCTTGGTTGTTGTTGTTACTCCACTTAACGCTAAGTGACTCAACAATACTCCGCATTAAACAGGACCCTTATGTCCGTAGCATGTTACCAGTTTTACTGAAGATACAGTCACTATTTGTGCCTGACTGTGGGCCAGGCAAGCTTAAATGTTTGAATTGTCTTTCAATAATATTGTTTCAAAGGGTAAAGACCAGTGCATTTCAGGCTAGTTCTTTTTGTCCATTGTGTTTTCTCACACGTGAAATCACATTACCATGTTATAGTATCCTGAAATATGGCAAATATTTCCACAGATGACATAGTCTCAAGTATCAAATATGCACATGGTATCAAAATTCAATCCATAGCAAAAAAGAGAAATTCAGCTTTAAATGTTGCTAAACTTCCAGCTCTGGTCCTACTTAGTTACAGCGCTGAAGACAGTGCACAAGCGTGCCTTCCCACTTGACTTTACCAGTTACAGCTTCCATATGCTATTTGGATCACTTCTTTTGTGTTATCTAAAAAGAGAGTAGATTCCTTTTGAAATCCTAGGTCTAGTATACAAGTGGCAGCATGCACTAGACTTTGCATCTTTTTTACAGCACAATAACTGTTCAGTGTTACTATCTGGCTTTGAATCTCAGATATAAACTTGGGTTCCTTGTGCACCAATCAGTGTCTGAATTCGACTCAGTAGGTCAGTTAATCATTTCCAGTCATTTATTTTCATAGCTTTTCATTTCTATCTGTGGAGTAGAAGAAAAATTAAATTTATTCCAAAGGTTTCATTAGACTTAATAAAATGCAAAAAAGAGAACAATCAAGGCTGTAGTTTGGGGCCTTTAGCTGAATATTCTCATCCTCTTTGTGGCTGACGAGATTATATCTGATGACAGAGAGATGAAGAATGTATCTTTTAGGTTCATCTAAGTAAAACTCTGTTGTGTGTTTTCATTTGCATGTAGCCCTCTCTGTTTTTAATTTATTACCTATATTTTCCAATTCTGCAGCTGAAACCTGATGAAAGGATCATCAAAACCGAATACGGGCTACTGATTCGCAGTTTGCAGAAGAGAGATTCTGGGATGTATTACTGCAAAGCACAGGAGCACACTTTCATCCACACCATAGTGAAGCTGACTTTGAATGTCATTGAAAATGAACAGATGGAAAATACCCAGAGGGCAGAGAATGAGGAGGGGCAGGTCAAGGATCTGTTGGCTGAGTCACGGTTGAGATACAAAGACTACATGCAAATCCTTAGCAGCCCCAACTTCAGCCTCGACCAGTACTGCGAACAGATGTGGCACCGAGAGAAGCGGAGACAGCGAAACAAGGGCAGCCCCAAGTGGAAGCACGTGCAGGAGATGAAGAAGAAGCGGAATAGAAGGCATCACAGGGACCTGGATGAGCTTCCGAGAGCCGCGGCTATGGCGCTGTCTATTTAATTTAAGGAAAGCATTATTTACCTGCAGATAGACAGTCTTCTGTTTCGTACATCCCTTATACTAACTCATAAATGCTTTCCAGGCAGCTTTGCTGAGGCACAAGAACAATAATCTGATTAAGGTTATGGATAGGGAATATGAGATAGTAAGGGGGAAATAAGTAAATGTTTCAAGAATTAAATTTGCAACTGCAAAGTATACGAATTTTCCTCAGATTAGGGGCTTTACATTTGTAAATGTTTTTGAGTTTGAGTTTTTGAATTTATTATTTTGTGTACATAGTGGAGCTAAGCAAACATCAAATTAAGGGGAAGGTTGTAATTTTCTCTGACATATCCATTAAGCATGGCGTTTACCATGCAGTTGTCCTGTGTTCTTGTGAACAGGTATTATCATTCCACTATTGAAATGGACACCTTTGGGCAAAAATTGGAGGGAAGACACAAATTCAGCGGGTTCATATTATCAACAGGAGTTTCCAGAACTGTTCATTCGGGAACATGCTTTAGGAATTTGGAGAGATGTACAATTCTTCCAACCCACAGAGGGTGTATTTAAGTGTACTGAAGCATTGATTTATTCAGGGACTTAAATGTTCCTCCCAAATCCTTATGGCTTGCTAGAAGCAGCATATCCACACCGATAAGTTGGTTCTCAGTAATGTTTTTAGAATATATGCCAAGATATACTTAGTAAAAGTCTAGTAAGATATGGAAAATTATTTTATTAAGATATGGGAAACATCATGATGGATAGTGTATCCTAATGGGAATGTATGCAGATGGGATTTGTTATATGATACTGAAGAAAAGAGAGCCATACATTCTGGCTTTGAAGAAATGTCATATCCCCCTAGAAAGGAAGAACAACAATCACATTAAAAAAGTAGGTGAAATATAATGAAGCTTTATTCACTAGAGTGTAAATAGCTGCCAATTGGCCATCTACCTATTAAAAACATAATCTGGATTATAATAAACTGCTAGCAAAATCATGAGTGAAGATAAATTTTCTGAAGGATGATCCATAGGATGAACAGAATTCTAATCTCCAATCAGTGGGATTTCAGTATGAATTCCTCTACTTTTTGAAGGATTTCTCATATTCTATATTATTTTCATTGAATGCCTTTATTTTCCCAAGATAATGGATTGTGCATGTTTCCATGAACAATGGAGAAATAAAGGCATACATACAAAAAAAGAAAAAAGGAAGATTGGGTAGATCATAGTGGTGGAAATACGGGACATATATTTTATGACTAAGAGAACAAGGGCAAAATTGTATTAACGGAAGGGGTTTAAATGAACCCTTTGACACCTTTCACTCATATTAACTTTTTGCAGTTCTGCTGTCACAACTCAAGCCACATTGTCTCTGTAATTTTATTAGTAAACCTCCTTCATGCAGAGAAGGAAAATCTACAACACTAGCATGAACATCTTTCATATTTTCATAGCACTTTCAAATGTTTCCAATTTGACTCTTTCTCTGAATACCTAGAATATATTTCCTGTCTAAATAAGACTCACCTTTATTTCTTACAACGAAACAGTCTTCTTCTGTTTTTCCTTTCCATGCTCTTTTTTAGTGTGAAATTAAAAATTAGTCACTTCCTTGGATGGAAGGAAGCTTTCCTGAAAACTAAATAACAGACATTACTAGTTTCTCATATGTTCCACATATCTTGATAAAAAAGCCCAAAGAGGAAACTTGAGACTAGTGAGTAGTTTATTACAGTAATTACACATCAATGACTCTGGTTTTACATTTAGGGCATTATCTCTATTATATATTGATTTTCTTTTCATTACTTAGCACCAAAAGTAATCAATACATGAGATTAAAAACCCCCTTTTGATTTGATAACCATGAAGTTTTATAGATATTATAAGGAAAATTTGAAGACCTTAGTGTTTAGTTTTGGTTTTATTGGGTCTTTTTTTGATAAACTGAAACAAATCACTCTAAAAAAATAAAAAATAAAGTATAAGAAGAGTTGTGGCAAAATCAGACTGCGAATGGAATAAATAGCACAACAAGAATTTTTGTTAGTATTGCTTTTGTGTGCTAATACGTTCCAGGAGTTCACAGCTCAAAATAATTAAGTGGGAGCATGTTTTTTAAAAAAGATTTCAAATATTTTTCTACCAAGGACTCTTGATGAAATAATGGATGGATTTGGAAAAAGTAGTTCCCTGGGTGATACACTGGTTTGCACTTAACCCTAAATTTGGTTTGAATTCAGCCAGTGTGATGGAAGATAGGCTGCTGACCTGGTGCTCTGCGTCGTGAGATTCCAGCCAACAAAGACTTAGGTGGCAATTTTGCTCTATAAGCTATAGGGTCAGTATGAGTTGGGATCAACTTGATATAGCAATGGATTTGTTTGCTCAGGAAAAACACAAAACTCAAATATTGGGATTGATTTGTCATATTTAAATTCAACCAAATATGGATGGATGTGTGAGCCATTTTTAAAATTAGTATTTCTGGTGGGAACATGGTTCAAATCTATGAGGTGCTTCATGGGAGAATGATGAGCAATCTCTGTGTGATTTACTGCTTCTGAAAACCTTCTGGAGGGTCAGCTATGGGTTGGTTCTGACTCAGTGGACCATAACAACAACAATTAGCTTAATACATATGAAAATGTGGGACCTATTTTTTTTGTCTCATATCTCAAGACTTCAATATTATGGCTACTTTGGATTTTAAAACGTTGACTTCAGATGCTCTGAATTCCTTGTCATCAAGTTGGAGCTGACATACAGCTGACTCCGTTGGATTTCCAAGGATTTAATGGAAGACGTTTGCCCATCTTTCTCCTTTGGAGTTACTGATGGATTCAAACCTTAAAAGTGGCTTGGCTTTATGGTTATCATTGCAATTTCCTAAGGACAGCACTAACAGAGCTCCCTTAATTTAAAATAATAACCTAAAATATATTGAAAATATGTCTAATTAATGGTTTGGTAGACATAAGACTAGCAGGTTCTCAGGATTATAAACAATCAATCACACACTTTTAGTTAGGTGCCCGGCAATACTTTCAAATGTCAAGTAAATGTTTCTGGCTCCCAGAACATATTGACAAAACCAGAACCTATGGACAAAAGCTTCTTATTATAACAATGAACTTAGATGGCAAACAGTGAACAAGTTCATTGCTCTATGTTTCTTTGGAGTTTGCCTTAAGAATATTTTTGCTGTTAAATTTAGACCAAAACTATAATACTACACTAATCAATTATAAAATATACAAAACAAAATAAACCAATAATAAGATCCGAATTTTTTTTTGCTTTTTTTAAATTGAGATTTTAATGGAAGTTTACAGAGAACTTGGATTTCCATTCATTCATTGTTGTACATTTTCCTCCCTGCCGTCCTACCCCCCTCAATTTCGCTTTTTTTTTTTGAAAGAAAACCCCCTCTCTCATTGTTATACAGTCCCCCTCAAGTCCACTTTACTACGCAGCTCTTATTCTGGACTCTTGTCAAGCCAATCATCATATATTCTTTTTATACAATTCTCTCCCTCATCTGCTTCAATGCTGTGTACATACATTATTTACCCCCTCTTTTCTTCGTTCCCTCCCAACCCCCCAAGGTTTAAGTTTTTCATAAGTAAAGATCTTTGCCCTGTTTTAAAATTATCTATGCTAAACACCTTATAAATTTAGCATAAAAACACAGAATCATTCACATCCAGGTTTCATGTTGCAACCACCTTATTAATCAGCAAACCAAGGAATCAAGCCCATTAAATGGTACAAACTTTGCTAAAATCTTAATACATTTCATAGTTTATTCTCGTTATTAGAAACCAAGACAAAACTCTCTACCTTTTGTCCTTCATAATGCTCTTTTATTGTCTAGAACAAACCAATACTACTTTAGGACACAGCATCTGCAAAGTAAAAAGGCAGATGCTGTGTCCTAATTTTCAATCTGAGCAATGCAAATATATTTTGTGAATTTATTTTAAAAATCTCTCTAATGATGCTTAGCTTTTACTTTATTTCAAGAAGCATTCTATAAAAATTATTTTGGAGGATGCCCACAGCATGGATTATTGTGTTACATTATTTACTTGGTGTCTAAATGTCTGGGTAACTAAACACACTGGAGAGATTTTCCTAAAAGTTATTTAATGAGAAATTAGTTGTATAGCAAAAATGAATGTTTAAAGATAACTATGATTCTAAACATAATACAAGCATAAAAACATAAAACACCAGTATTTATTTAAAAATTAAAATAAATTATTTTTAAGAAAAAACTCCCACATGGCATATGATATTATCTTTATTGCTTTAGATGAGTACTAGGTAAACAACACTAGAAAAAATAAATCAAATATCGGGAGGTAAAATCAAGATTAATTATCCCATTGCTATTAAGCTGGTTCTGATCCACAGAGATGCCAAAGGATTGAGTAGAACAATCCCATAGGATTCCCAAAGCTAATCTTTACGGAAGTAGACTGTCACATCCTTCTTCTGAAAAGTGGTTGGTAGGAGTAACATGTCAACTTTGGGGTTAGCTGCTGAACACCTGTACCTGTAACACCAGGGCTCCTTAGATTAATTATGAAATTATTTTTTCTCTTCCGTGAATTGTATATTTAGTTTTGGTTTTAAATTCTATATCTTTAACATTTTGGTAAATAATTTTCATTAGGATTATGGTTACCTAGTTAATACTTTTAAGTACACTTGTTCCACAAATTATCTCTCCACAAAGAGAAGCTTACTATGTCTGTTTGTTCTTAGCTTCATATTTTCCTTCCTTTTCTTTTAATGCATATATTTGATTCCTTGTGTGTTCTCTTCTGTATTTAATTCCAGCTATTTATGCTACTAAGTGGAATCCTGCATCTCTGTATTCGTTTACATTCAATTTATTGGGAATTGTAGAAGTTTATTTAGAAATGGATAGTCCAAGTAATTCATTTATGTAGAACTCTTTAATTTCTCAAGGAACTCAAAACAGTATATTCACATCAGTGAACAAACAT